AACCTGGCAACTCTAGCAGGGTCTCCGGCCGAGAAGAGTCTTTCCCAACACCTGAGATCCTTTCACAGGGGATGACAAAGATAGAATTGGGTACCTGCTGTGTGCAAAGTATCCACTGTGCCGTCTAGCCATGGTCCCCCCAAAGCAACAGCGTGTACTTATTAAGAACATAAGAGAAGCCAATGTTGGATCCGGCCAATGGCCCATCCAGTCCAACACTCTGTCACACAGTGGCCACAAATACCAGGTATTAAGATTTTTTGTTGGTCCACCAACAAAAAACAAACAAACGTGCGCCTTGGTGTTTAGTCATGCCGGCCACATGACCACGGAAACGTCTTTGGACAGCGCTGGCTCTTCGGCTTTGAAACGGAGATGAGCACCGCAACTCTAGAGTCAGATTCGACTGGCTTTCGAGCAAGGGAACCTTTACCTTTTACCTAATCTTGGCTTTGGCCTAGTCAGACCCGTCAGACAAAAGGCCTCCCCCCCCCCCCCGGAGATCCTTTAAGTATTGATGTCAGCAATTGAACCCAGGACCCATTGCATGCAAAGCAACTTCGGGGCTCCCTGTGGGACTAGTAGAATGTCTGGAACTGCTTCAGATCTAGGCCAGTTATTGGGCCAGCAAGCTCTTCAAAGTCCTCTCAGACTGGGTCTCTCTAGCAGAGAAAGTTGGCACCCAGAGACGCTTTTGACAAGCTATGGTGAGGACTGAACCGGGAGCCTTCTGCTGTTTCATCAGCCGCCCATGAAAGTGAAAGCTGGGGATTTTTTAGAAGATGTGGCGCTCCTTCAACAAAAGTCTTTAAATCGTTGTGATCTCTTCCCCTCCAAACGCAATTCTAAAAGCCGTCTGCGAGAAGCATCGATCCCTTTTCAAACCAATTACTCAGGGGGTCTGTTTTCTTGCAGTAGCCTGGAATGCGTCAGATCGATACTGCAGTGGGGCAGGAAATTTTCTGCCACGGTTTTCCAGATTGTTATCGGCGCTGCATAAACACAGGCAGTCAGTGGTCCATTCCCAAACTGTGGGTCTGCTGTTTCTTGTTTCGGGCCAGGTGAATAACTGAAGCTGCTTAAAAAGCCAGAGGATTACAACTTTACAGAACTGTAGAGTTTGGAATGCGTCAGATCGATATCTGCCACGGTTTTCCAGATTGTTATCAGCGCTGCATAAGCACAGGCAGTCAGCGGTCCATTCCCGAACTGTGGGTCAGCTGTTTCTTGTGTTAGGCCAGGTGAATAACTGAAGCTGCTTTAAAAAGCTAGAGGATTACAACTTTACAGAACTGTAGAGCATCCCCCCCCCGCGACCCTAAAGTGAAGAAGAAGAAGAGGCGGAGGAGATTGGATTTATACCCCACCCAGCCCTTTACTGCCTGAAGGAGTCTTAGAGCGGCTTACAACAAACACCCTATGACTGAGAGAGCTCTTTCGAGGACAGCTCCTGAGAGAACAGCTCCGAAAGAACTTGTGACTGACCCAAGGTCACACCAGCAGCTGCCAGTGGAGGCGTGGAGACTCAAATCCGGTTCCCTCAGCTGGGAAATCTGGGTTCAAATTCAAGAAAAGCCCTCTGTGCAACTTCAGGCCAACCACGTTTCTCTCAGCCTAACCTTCCTCACAGGGTGGTTGTTAATCTAAAATAAGGAAGGGAGAACAATATACATGAAGTTGCCTTATGCTGAATCAGACTGTCGGTCCATCACAGTGAGTATTGTCTACTCAGACCAGCAGTGGCTCTCCAGGGTCTCAGGCAGAGGCCTTTCCTGTCGCCTTCTGATCCCTTTAACTGGCAATGCTGGGGATTGAACCTGGGACCTTCTGCCTGCCAAGCAGAGGCTCTGCCACTCAGCCACATCCCATCTTTACAACTCTCCAGGGTTTCAGGCTGAGGTCTTTCCCATCACCTCTTGCCTGGTCCTTTTTAACAGGAGATGCTGGGGATGGAACCTGGGACCTTCTGCATGCCAAGCAGAGGCTCTGTCACTGAGCCATACTTGCCCCTCTTTACAGCTCTCCGGGGTCTCAGGCCGAGGTCTTTCCCATCACTCCTGCCTGGTCCTTTTCACTGGAGATGCTGCCTGGTATTGAACCTGGGACCTTCTGCATGCCAAGCAGAGGCTCTGCCATTGAGCCACAGCCCCTCTTTACAGCTCTCCGGGGACTCAGGCGGAGGTCTTTCCCATCACCTCCTGCCTGGTCCTTTTCAACTGGAGATGACGGGGATTGAACCTGGGACCTCCTCCATGCCAAGCAGCGGTTCTTCCACTGAGCTGCAGCCCCTGTGAACTCCTGGAAGGGAGTGGGTTAAAAATGGACTGATAAACCATAGCCAACTTAGGACTGATGAGCACAGCTTTGGTTGCAAGGCAGTCAACAAATAAGTTACATGAACGAAGTCTGGGGTGGGTGGTGGGTGGGTCTGGTTATTGTCCTTGCCATTCTGCAGTGACAGCTCTCGGCCTCTGTAGATGGATTTGCAAGTCTGAAAAGGTCCCTTGGCTTCCTTCGGCACACACACTGCGGGTTTTGTGTGTTTGAATTCCTGTGACTTTTCACCATGCAGCCCCAGGAAACCTGGACAAACTGTCTGGTTTCTGCCTTTCGGTGCTTCTGTCCTTTAAGAGGCTTTTGAAAGCCTCTGATTGGGGGGTGGGGGGGAGAAAAGATATTTCCTTGGAAGCGGCCTCCTTCTGCAGTTCCTTGGTTCTCCAGAGCTTCTTAAGTTTCACTTGGGAGCGAGTTTTATAAATCAGGGCCAGAAGATTGTGAAATCGCCCGTATTTACATGCTACTGCAGTTTCCCGTCAACTTGGCTCTGTTACTCTCGGGGCCTTGGAGATTTCTGTCGGAATAACAGCCAAGAGTGTTTGGGAAACCTAACTTCTTGGAGAGACCTAGTTTCTTGCTAGTCACTAAACTTCAACCCCGGGGAGGTACTGGAAAGATATTTTTAAGGAACTTGGAAAAGAGGTCATATTTACAATGCGATGCACAAGCATTTATAAACTGTACTGGAAATGCCAACGTCCAATGTGGTGTAGCGAAACGCGGGGTAGACTGAGAACTGAGAGACCCAGGTTCAAATTCCCACTTGGCTACGAAATTCACGGGGTGACCCTGGGACAGTTGCTACCGGCCTAACCTACTTTGCAGGGTTATTGTGCAGATAAAATGGAAGGAGGGGAGAAACCCCCGTTCGGCATTGGTGCTTATTGGGTGATGTTGGGCAACCCTTTCTTTCACCCTAGCCGACCTCACAGGGTCGTTGTGAGAATGAAATGGAAGGGGCAGGACCAGATACGCCCCTCTGTGCTCCTTGGAGGAAGACTGAGATTTTTCAAAAGTTGATTGATTGATTGATTGATTGGATTTGTATTCCTCCCTCCCCAAAGCAGGCCCAGGGAGGATCACAACAAGTACAGTCAAAGACTCATTACAATAAAATTACATGACATTAAAATAATTAAAACAGTATAATTCAGAGGTAGCAGCAAATTACATAAAAAGAAAAAGACTGTTAGGGTCCTATAGGTGGACTCAATGAGCACTTCAGTGGATTGGGAACTAAATTGTGAATCATAACAATACAGTATCATCAAAAAAGTGGAAGGCGGAGGGAAAAGAGGGAAAAAGAAGAAGAGGAGGAGGAGGATGAGATTGGATTTATATCCCGCCCTTCACTACCCGAAGGAATCTCAGAGCGGCTTATAATCCCCGTTCCCCTTTCCCAACCCACAACAGACACCCTGTGAGCAATGCTCCCTCTAAGCTGTGGAGTCTTGTGAGCAAAAATTCTACTTTGTGAGCTACTGGCATTAAAGTTGTGGGCAAGCAATTTGGCTGTTGCATCAACTAGTTTGCTCTGGAGCCATCCTTCCTGCGCTAAGAGAAAAATCCGCGAGCTGGAGGCTGAAAGACTGTGAGCTGGCTCATCTTAGAGGGAACACTGCCCGTGAGGGAGGTGGGGCTGAGAGAGCTCTTTCGAGGACTGCTCTTGAGAGAACAGCTCTGAGAGAACTTGTGACTGACCCAAGGTCACACCAGCAGCTGCATGTGGAGGAGTGGGGACTCAATCTGCGCTCCTAACCACTGCAACAAACTGGCTCTCAGTTGGGAGACCCACCAGGAAATGGATGAACTCAATCAAGGAAGCCCACGGCTTTCCATTTACAAGACCTGAGCAAGGCTGTTAATGCTAGGACGTTTTGAAGGTCATTAATTCATAGAGTCCCCATAAGCCAGAAATGACTTGGGAGCATGTAACACACACATCAACCCGAACTTTCTAAACAATGCTCCCACTAAACTGTGGAGTCTTGTGAGCAAAAATTCTACTTTGTGAGCTACTGGCAGAGGTCATTTCGGGGGGGGG